TGAACGAGATGGCTGGAAATTTGTTCTCCTAGCTCGTTTTTCACCTATCCCCTCATATGTCATCAACTATGCTCTAGCTGCTACAAAAGTGGGATTTCTTGTCGATTTTCTGCTCCCTACAGTACTCGGCTGCTTGCCAATGATTTTACAGAATACGTCCATTGTTAGTCTTGCTGGTGCTGCTGTAGCCTCAGCCTCTGGCTCAGAGAAATCTCAGCTATTATCCTCTCTCTTTCCCTTACTTGGGATTGTATCAAGCATTCTCATCTCATTGAGGATCAAAAAGTACACTTCAGATATCTCAGTGGCTGAACCATCTTCTGGTGAGAGTACAAATGACTGTAATAATGTTGTTGATCAGTCTCAAACTACCATCAATAAGAAAAGTGGTAGCAAGCTGACAAGGAAGCAAGAATAGATTCATCTTTGGTATTCACGTTTCCTCCTGTCTATTTTCTATAGAAATGAAACATGAATTAGCAATTGGGATTGAAAACTTTATCTTTTTTTTTTTCTAGAGCTGTGTTCGCTACTATCAAATTGTTGGCTTGTTGCCACTTTGCAAGGGCAAAGGAATGAATACAAGGAGCGGACCACTTGAGACTTGAATCATTGAGTGTTGGCTTCAATTGCCCTAGAACATGGCAATCCGGATTCGGATATCCCTCCTGATCCTAACAAATCGGATGGGATCGGAAAATCTGATCTGTTAATTATAAAATATTATATATTATTTACATATTATATTTGTATATTCTATATATTATTTATATAATTATATATTATATATTATTTATATTACTTTATCTAGTTTTTTTATTATAATTCTAATCAAATCGGATATCCTATAACATATTCGAATCATGTTCTTGAAAATCCGATGGATTCTTATCAGATTTGGATTAGTCGGATTTTCTTAACGGATTGGATCGGTTCGGTTRTGCCCTTACTGAACCGATTCGATCTGGTTGCAGCCCTAGGTATTGAAATTCATAAAATGCAAAAAAAAAAAAAAGAAAAAAGAAAAGCAAAAACTCTGCGCACATCGCATCCAGCCCGTAAGCTTTATTCAAGGTGTATGGATCTCCTGCACTCGGCGTCCTRCAAAACTTCTTTGGCAATTTATTTAGTATTTATCTCAAACATAGGGCATAAGTGTAAAGCCCCATGTCTCCTCTTTCTTGCAAGCAATGCACTCGTATAACATAATCCATATCAAAACCGGTAGTGAACTCCAAGTTTGAAAGAGCTCTCTCTCTCTCTCTCTCTATTTAAACAACGGAGGCAGTATGAAATAGGTAGTTATAGGAGAAGCAAAAACCGAGATGGAATCATCTGTCCTCTATTTCATTCTTGTCCTTGTTTGCCTCTGCACCTCCATTTTGACTTGCCTGGCAGACAGTARTAGTCCCCTTCAAGATGTTTGTCCATCAGCCTCATTGAGACAGCAGCAGACCATCTTCATGAATGGCTTGCCCTGCAAGAATCCCATCACCATTATGGCTTCAGATTTCAAGAACTCAAATCTGAACCATCCGGGAGACACTGACAACTTCCTCCGCTCGTCTATGAACATCATCACGGCTGCCGATTTCCCTGGGCTGAATACTCTTGGCCTCTCGATTGCCAGAACCGACCTGGACGTTGATGGCATGGTATTGCCTCATTATCACCCAAGGGCCTCGGAGATGTTGTTTGTTATGGARGGAGTTGTTGTTGCCGGATTCATCGACACTGGAAACCAGTTATTCCAGAAGATGCTTTCGAAAGGAGATGTATTTGTGATCCCACGTGGCTTGCTTCACTTTAGCCTGAATGCGGGATATGAGATTGCTGCCATTGTCTCCGTGCTCAACAGCCAAAACCCAGGTGTGGTGAGCATTACCGAAGCCATGTTTGGATTCTCTGATTTGGATGGTCTTCAGAAGAGATTTCTCAGTTTTTCTAGTGGAGAGGTTGATCTTTTGATCGGAGGAAATATGACGAGGGGTTTGAAGCTACCCCATCACCATGTTGATAATGATAATTAGCTCGGATGCATGTGTAGAGTAGAAGATAATGTATTTGAGGAAGTTTAACGTTTAGTCATCTTTTATCTTTACCAAAAACAAAACAAAACAAAAGAAAGTTTAATCATATTTATTTAATCCAGACTGGCAGATCATATATTCATAAGTTAAACCCAAATACCATATACTAAAATTGTTTTAGTTAAATTACTTAAATATACCATGAAGTATGTGATAAATACTCAAATATAATACCCTACCCCACCC